GAAATACAGGCAAATAGACTAAAATGAGGTTAAAATATTATACCTTGATATTTAAGTTAATACATCCCTTCAGTTAAAAGCCCGAAATTTCCTTTTTTTAGTCAGATAGTAAGCATGAGCACACACACACACACACACACACACATACACACCAAGCGAACTCATTCTTTTTCTTTCTTGCTTTTTTTTTGAGTAGGGGTCTTTGTCACCCAGGCTGGAGTGCAGTGGCATGCTCATAGCTCACTATATCCTTGACTTCCTGGGCTCAGGCGATCCTTCAACCTCAGCCTCCCAAGTATCTAGGACTACCGACGCATGCCACACGCCTGGCTAATGTTTTCAAAAAAATTTTTTTGTAGACAAGGTTTTGGTATGTTGCCCAAGCTGATCTTGAACTCCTGAGCTCAAGCAATCTGACTACCTCGGCCTTCCAAAGTGCTGGGATTATAAGTGTGAGTCGCCATGCCTGGCCATGATCTTATTTTCTATAAACATTTATTGAGTACTTACTATCTCAAGTACTTCATATACATTAACTTGTTTAATTAGAAACTGCCTTTATAGGTATCCTTATTTTATAGATAAGAAAACTGAAGTAGAAGATTTAAGTAACTTCCCAAAGTCACATCAGCTTATAAGTGGTAGAAGCAGGAATTCCAATCCAGGTAGTTTGGCTGAGAGTCTGTGCTTTTAACCACTAGCTAACAACAGAAAACAACAGATAAATCAATGTAAACATTTAATTCTTTTCACAAATGTAAAAATTTTTCAATATTTACAACATAATTTATTTTGCTTCATTACTTACAGTGCACTTTCCATATCTGCTATATTTTCTTCCATTTTCTGAGACTACATAGAGGTAAATAAAGTTGTCATGGGATCCTACAGCCAGGAGGATACCATCTAGAATGAAACAGGACAGAGTGTTAACTACAGAAATAATATTGATAGATTTACTTACTGTTATTTTACTGGACCTATCCTAAATGATATTTTGCAAAAGCTGTTAGGTTTCATCAATTTAACTGTTATCTGGTACTTGATGAACGAATCCTGTCACAAAGCATTCTTGAAAAATAATGGTCACCCTTCCTGAAGACGCTCACAGTCCTTGGGCTCTAGCCTCATCGCTTCCTAGTTAGCTAGGAACTGACCCCAGAGGGGTTAGTCCTCTTTCAAGGGTAGAAAGAAGTACACAGTGTTCCTATGGCCAGCTGAGTGGACAGTTGCTTAGCTCAGTCAGCAAATATGATCTCTCCAAGCCCAGGATAGCTGCTCTTGGAAAGGAATCATGTTTCCTTCTTTTATGGTCACCTCCTCTGCACTGACCATAGTGCTAAAGAGGTAACAGTCAATGAAGTCCACCTGATCTTTGGATTTTAACTGCTACATTTACAGTGGTTATTTGTTCCTATAAAACCAAACAAACAAAACAAAAACCCTAGATAAATTTAAAAATGTTTCTGCTTCAAAATGACTCTAGGCTTATAGCTTAAAGTACATACAATTCCTTCCTTGCTCAATTTAGAAAATAGTATCTTGTGCTTCCCTTGAAGCAACTTGAGAAGTAATCAAAAAGATTCTTTGGATTCCATAAATGTCAGACTAACTCGAAGGAAGAATGATGTGAATCAAAACCACACTAATAATGAGAAAAGGTTATTTGGAATTGATGAAAACTTCACCAATATTATGAATAAAGTACAAATAATTATTCAAATAGGCTAAATGAATATTTATGAAATTTATATAAAGAATTGCTGGGTGTTTAATTAACAACCCAATAATTACTATGTAACAAAAGCATTGTAATTAGATTGTAAAGGAGTTGAAGCGTCTATAAAATTTGTGTATTTTGAGTTACTGTAATTTCTTTTATATACTCTTATATACAAAGGTTGCTAACTAACTCAATACCTCCTTAAAATTCTAAGTATGTGTAATCCAAAAAGGGTAACATGATTGTACTTTATTCTGCTTTTAACTGCAGTTGCAGTTGTGACAGTTCATTCTAAATCTAGGTTTGCTTGATGATTTAGAATGTTGTTTAACTTTAGCAGATCTTTAGCGTTTTCAGGCAGCAGAATTTAATCTGATGTTGGGGAAAACATTTAATATTTAACAACTCTAGATAGTAGAGAAAGAAGGCATCACCTTTACCAGAAGTAAAAATATGCAATTGCTGTGAATGCCAGGGTTGGGAGGACTGTGGGGGTAAATGTGCCTACCTATTGAGTAGCGCATTACAGAGAGCTGTTCATTCCCATCTGTGTGAATAGAAACTAGATCTCTGGTTTCTGCATCCAGAACAAACCACCTGTTAAGAAGTAAAAATCAAAATTTCCTTCAGATATCAGCATTTATCGAAAAAAATAGTTACTGGCTTTTTCTCCTTTTTTAATTTTAAGAAATCTTAACAGTAATCCTTAGGTATGAAATGTTTTCCTCTTTTAATGAAGGATGGGTTCATTCTGCAAAATGCTGCTAGATACAATACGCATAAACATATATGGGCCTAGGCATATTCTCATTTCTACTCAGGTTTTCATTGAATGCCTCCAACTGTGTTTATTTCTTTGCTAGGCACTGTTTACATAGAAAACAAAATGACAGGATCGGTGTTCTTGAAGATTACACTAAGGTTGGGAAACGGGAAATGAGGCGACTGTAGCAAAGCATGATTAAATGCCAACCTCAGTGATAGTGACTAAATATAACACAGGAACTCACAGGAAGAAAGTGAATGACAGCAAACAGAAACCCTTTAGGGAAAATGTAGAATATGAGCTGAGCTGAACACTGAGGGAAAGTACAGGTTATTTAGGTAGGAGGAGTACCAGCTGTATAAGCAGGGAGGTGGGAAGGACCATGGATAGCATGAAGGTGGGAGGAACAGAAGGGAGTCATTCACTTGGTATAATGTCAAAGAAACCAGCAGGGGGTACTCTGCTTTTCCCCATGCCTCCAACACTTGCACAGGGAAGGTCTACATTCTTCAGAAGATAGTTTTCCTTTTTTTTTTTTTTGAGTTAGAGTCTCCCTCCGCCGCCCAGGCTGGAGTACAGTGGCACGCTCATGGCCACCCCAGCATCAATCTGCTGGACTCAGGCAATCCTTCTGCTTCAGCCTTCCACGTAGCAGGAACTACAGGCACGTGCTACCATGCCGGGCTAAAGGAGATAGTTTTTCACTCACATTTATAGGAAAAGTTAAAATGTTAATGCCTCGTGAGAGGTAAAACAATGACTTAATCCAATTTCTATATAATATACAGAATATATTTTATTGTCATATATATTTATTATATATATATAATAAATCCAACTACATTATAAATGACACTATAAGACCTTTTTCTAAGAGCACTTGCAGAAAAGAATGGGTGCTTCAGAAGAGCCGAGTGAGACCCAAGATATATATAGCAAAGATGGGAATTACGAACAGAAAGTTAAGTTTGGAGAAGAGGGCAGGTTACAGGTAGCATGCATAGCTGGCTCAGAGAGTTTAGAGTTGAGCACTGCCTGGATCAGAGTAGGCACAAACTAAATATTTGTGGAATAAATAAATGAACAAAAAAATTAAAAATAAGCTGGGCTCGGTGGCTCAGCCTATAATCCCACGCCCTGGGAGGCTGAGGTGAGTGGATTGCCTGAGCCCACGGGTTCGAGACCCACCTGGGCAACTTGGTGAAACCTCATCTCTACAATAAATCAAAAAATTAGCCAGGCGTGGTAGCGTGCGCCTGTAGTTCCAGCTACTTGGAAGGCTGAGGCGGAAGGATCGCCGGAGCCCAGCAGGTCGAGGCTGCGGTGGCCGGGAGCGGCCACTGCACTCCAGTCTGGGCGACAGTGAGACTCCAACTAAAAAATAAATAAATAAATAAAATAAATAAATAAAATAAAAATAAAAATAAATCTTGAATATGACAAAAGCCAAGTTTTGGCAAGAGGTATTTAAAGTGCAGTGTGCATGAAGAAAATGGCTGGGGTGGAGAGAAAGACAAGATTAGAAAAAAATAATCAGTCTTAATCTCATAACTGGATGGGACAAAAAAGAGCCACAAGTTTGATTATTTTTATTTTTCTACCTGTTCCTACCTTCTGAAGCAAGTCTTATAATTATTCAGGTGGAAAAAAATTCCACCACTAAAATAAACCAATAAAAAGAGAAATAATGATAGTTTCTTTTCATTTTGAGGCACTGTAAATAATATTTGGAAAGGAACTATCTCCCCTTTTGATTAAAAGAAATATTTAGGAGAGTGGAAAGGGCTAGAAAGAATTTTAAAAAACCAAAAGCTTAGTGATGCTACTTGACATGCCTTAGTGTATTCATGCAGAAGACTAGAGATGAAAAGATCCCAACTCTTTTCCTATCTGACATCTACACCTCTATTTAAACATATTCCTGAATGAATTTTAGCAACTTGTGAGCTATGGGCTGAAACTTCTAGGCAGCTAACCTTATTTATAAATTCTGTGGTCTTCTCAGAAGAGAAATAGCTTCTACATGTGAATTCTTGAGCTGAAAGGCCAATCAGCAGGAAATGAACACTCTGAAGCCATATACTGAATGTTTACTTATCAAAAGGTGCATAAAAAACATACTTTATTGCAATCAGACAGTACCCATAGATTATAGGTTTCTTTTGTGAATGTAATTCATTAATCAGTTTTTATGACTACCCCTGTGAAATTCCTTGGGGTCAAGAAATGCGAAAGCTGATGCCAAGTGCCTTTTTAGAGTAAGGAAACAAAATGACATTCCAGCTGAGACTGAACTGACACACCTAAAGAAGAGTGAGATATGAAGCTGCTCTGTCAGTGTCAGGTTTCAAGTTTTAATGAGTTTATGGAACTTTATTACATTTTCTTATGCACTTAAAAATTATTGCAAATTTTTATTTTGCAGAAGCCCCAACGGAAACTGTTTTAAGACTGTTTCCAAGTCAGTTTAATCTTCCTTGGAAAACTAAACACAATTTTATCTTTTTGGACACCCCTAAGAATAGAATAAAATCCCAAATATCTGTTTTGGTATAGTATCTGTAGAAACCTAAAGCTCTTAGTCGTTTAATGGCTAGAGACAGTAGCTATCAAAAAAGAAAGAAAACAAAGAAGCCCTACCTATTTTTCTATTTCTTTAATTACACACTGGGAATTAAATCGCCTACTTTTAGTAAGTAACTGTTAATCAAAATCCAGTGACTTTGTTATTATAAGTATAAACTTTCACATAGACCCTCAGCAATAATTTTGGAATTTCCACCCTTTTCATTGCATGGACTATGTTTTACCTTCAGAAAAGACTTTTGGGCTCTGGACCTCTGTCCCTAACAATGAATCCTCTAGCAAAGGGGCTTTTCTATAAATAAACAGATATTTAAAGTTTTTACTGTTTCACTGTATCCTGATTCTGCTCTAGAATATCTACATTAGAACCAAGCTTCTGCCCTAAGGTCATTTGCATCATTATGGGCCTCTGTGTGGCCTGAAGGACCTAACGGGCCTTCTACATGTCACTGCCTAATAGCAGAGATGGACAATCTCTGGCCACATATATAAACTAGTCTGACTTGAGAGACAAGTACCAAAAGGCAGTACCCATCATTATCTCGATGACATCTATAAAAGACACTATATTGATTTCTTTAGTGGCGAAAAATATTCCAAAGACTTTGGAGCTGGAAAGTGCCTTAAAGTCCCCAAATGAATATATCTCTATTCATGATGCTAAGTGACAAAAATACATGCCCATCACAACATAAAGTGTGTCCTCTGGGTAGTAAGTTTCTAGCTTCCCCCTGCTTCTTTATGATCATCTATTTATAAAAATAGGAACGTGGCTTTTACATTCAGAGAAAAATGGGGGGAGAAAAACCCAATTCAAACTTCCTATTTTACTGTAAAAGTACTGGAATCCTGTGATGTCAGAACACCTGATCAGTCACCAACCAAGTCATCAACCAACCAGTTAGGGCAGAACCAGGAGAGAGCTTCTGGCCATTGTACTTTTCACTGTATTATGACAGGGAGGGGTGTGATCCCATGGAAAGTGCTCTATCTTTGAGATACACTAACGTGAAAAAAAGGCGATTAGTAAAGGAGACAGGAGCTTATAATCTAATGGGGGAGATAAGTAATTCATAAAGTGGTAAGTAGTTCAGAGTAACCTGGGTAATTCTAAAGATAACGAAGTTTCAGAGCAGGAAGTGATCCCTGAAGATATAGGTAGTCTAGGATTTTATAATACCGAGGGGGCAGGGATGGGTGGGACCCAGGCGACAAGAGTAGATAGACTACAAAAAAGCTGGAATGTACATAAAGGACAACCAGACCATTCTGGTGGTGAGGGAAAGATCTTTTTTTTTTCTTTTTTTTGAGTTGGAGTCTCACTCTGTCACCCTGACTGGAGTGCAGTGGCTGCTCCTGGCCACCACGGCCTCGACCTGCTGGGCTCCGGCAATCCCTCCGCCTCAGCCTTCCAAGTAGCTGGAACTACAGGCGCGTGCTACCACACCTGGCTAAGTTTTTGATTTATTGTAGAGATGAAGTCTCGCCAAGT